TCTTATAACAAGGATGAACCTAGAGGTCCTGATGCTGAGTGAAGTCAGCCACATAAGGACAAACACTGTAAGAGATCACTATCGTAAAAAGTCAGCAAAAGGGTTTCACACACAAAAAAAAGAAATATTCTTTGATGGTTACTAGGGATGGGTAAGGAAGGAGAGGTAAACCACTATCTAGAGGGTAGACACATATTAATGTGGGTGATAGGAAAAAATAAATACATAAAATGCAGGGGAGAAAAAAAAAGTATTATATATCCAGTAATACAGTCCCTCAAATACAATGGGGCAAAATTAGTACATTTCCAAATTAACAAATTAAAGATAATTTGTAAAAACCATACCAACCTCACAAGAAATGCTAAAGGGAGTCCTTGGGACAGAGAACCAGCAATGTCAGACAACAACCTGAGAGTAAGATAGATGACAATATCATCTGGAAACCAACTCAGATAAAACATTTTGAAAAATGTAGTAAAGCTATAAGACTGAAAATATGGAACTGCAGATGTCAATCTGTAAAACAATGATAACTTCAAAACAAAAAAAGTAAATTATGCAGTTACAGAACTTCCATATGGTGAAGAAGCTAAGGCAATATCAGGATAGAACAGACTGCTTTAATTTAGGAAAATAAAAGCAAATTTCAGGGTAATTACAAAGAAAAGTAATAAACTTTCTTACCAAAATAAAAAAAGACTCAGTGAATACATAATCAACAGCAACAAAGGAAATGAAAAGAAAATTCATAAACAGAAAGAACTCAGCAAATCACAGAAGGACTAATAATATAGTATTAGTTCATTATTATAAAATATCAAGGAAAGGTTTATATATGGAAGGAAACTTTCTTTGTTGGTTACTAGGGGTGGGAGGAGAGGGGAGGGAATACTGAGAAGAAAAAAAAATGCATTGACCTCTGTCACTTTAGTTCTGTGTAATTCACTGTACATAAATTATATTTCAGTAAAATGTATTAAAAAAAAGAACTCAGCACAGAAAACTATATGCAAGCAAAGAAACATCAGCACCACAATATAAAAGCACAACAAAGTGACAGCAGTAAATTCATACCTATCAAAAAGCATGCTGAATGTAAATGAACCGGAAGCGCCAGTCAAGAGACAGAGAGTGACAGAATGAATAAGAAAACATGGTCCATAATACGCTGCCTATAAATGACACACCTTAGACACAAAGATAAATTAAAATTCAAAAGATGCAAAGAAATATGTCATGCAAAGAGCAATCACAAAGGAACATGAATGGCAGTATTAATCACTGATAAAATAGACTTTAAAGTAAAAAACAAGAAAAGAAACAAGGAAGATATAATGATTAAAGGGGCAATCCAACAAGGGGACATAACCATGAGAAATATCACACACAACAGGAAGGGGCTCCAAAACAAATGCAACAACGTCAGGAAGATTAAAAAGAGAAATAGATAATGCCACAGCAATAGTAGAAGACTTTAAAACACAACAGAGACAAATAATCCAATTGAAAAGCAGACAAAGGAGATAGACACTTCACCAAAGAAGGCCAACAAAGACATGAAAGATGCCTGTGATTATTAGTAATGAGAGAGACACAAATCAAAACAACAATGAAATATTACCTAACCCTGGCACCAATAGCAATAACAATACTAATAAAACAGAAAACAACAAATGCTGGCAAGGGTGTGAGGAGACTGTAATTGTCATATACTGCTTTGTAAAATGATTGTAAAATGGCACAACCACGTGTAAAATGGTAAACAGTATGGCACTTCTTTAAAAAGTTAGAAATAAAGATAGCATATGATCCAGCAATCCCACTACTAGGTATATATCCTAGAGAAATAAGAGTCGTGATATTAATAGATACATGCACACCCATGTTCATCACAGCATTACTCACAATAGCAAAAAAGATAGAAACAACCTAAGTGCCCATCAACAGATGAATGGTTAAACAAACTATACACATAATGGAATACTACCCAATGTTAAAGAATAATGATGAATTCCCAAAACATCTCACAACATGGATGAGTTTGAAGGACGTTTTGCTGAGTGAAATAAGTCAATCACAAAAGGACAAATATTGCATGAAACCACTATTTATAAAAAGTCAAGAAAAAGTTCCTGCACAGAAAGAAACATACTTTGATGTTTCAAAGGGAAAGTCACTAACTAGATACAGACATGTAGTACCTTGGGTGAAGGGAACTACAATACGCAGTAAGGGAGAGGTCAGTACAATGTGACTGAAGTAGAGGAAGACAGTGGGAGGAACACAAGAGTAAAAGGCATAGACCTAAACAAGAATCACAAACACAATCCTGCAATTACAGTGCTAACAGTAATCTATGAGTGGCTACGTATATAGATACATAAGCTGAACAGGTATGTGATGACGTATGGGAGTATACCCATGAGCATACGTTAAGTTTGGCAGAGGATATTTCTACATATACGTTTGTATGTGCTACAAATATATCCCAGTATATAGAATGTACAGGGGGCAAAAGTATGCAAACTGCTTAGCCATAAGGCACTGGGTTACTGGGCTGGAGGGCTTACAAGTACAGTCTCAGGGTCCACCTAGGTCAACTGGCATAACATACTCCATAAAGACAATGTTCCACATCTGACTTGCGTGAGTAGGAACTGGGGTCTTAAAGCTTGTGAAAGAGCATCTAAGACACAATTACTGGTCTCTTGCCATTCGGCACAAAGAAGCGTGAAGAAAATCAAAGACTCAAGGGAACAATCAGTCAAAAGGACTAATGGATCAAAGGAACCACCGCCTCTGCAATCCTGAGCCAGAAGAACTGGATGGTGCCCGGCTACCACTACTGGCTGCTCTGATCAGGATCACAATAGAAGGTCCTAGACAGAACGGCAGAAAAATGTAGAACAAAATTCAAAATCATAAAGAAGACCAGACTACTGGTCTGATAAAGACTGCTGGACCCCCAGAGATCATCTTTCAGCCAAACAACAGACAAGACTATAAAGTGAACAATAACACCTGTGAGGACCGTGCTGCTCAGAACCATCAACCACATGAGACCATAGGGCACCATTTGTCCAAAAACAAAGTTCAGAAGGTAGGACGTGGCAGGAAAGATGCATGACAGGAAATGGGGACCCAGGGAGGAAATGGGAAAAATGCTATTACATTGATGGGATTACAACTAACATGATGCAACAAAATGTATATAAACTGTTGAATGGGAAACCAAATTGCTCTGCAAAATTTCACCTAAACCACACTAAAATGTTTTGATTGAAAGAAAACAAATATACAGCAAGTAAGTACTACCACCAGCTTGAGTTTTCTGCCTCTAAGTCTGTAAATCCTTCAAAGATTGCAGTGGGAAGGTTTCTACTGCTCAAAGCACTTGGCAAAGAACAGAGTTGTGGCAGGTGTGAGCTTAAGCACACATATCAGTACTGCTGACTACTGTGGCACCTCCTGCCCCCGCTCACATTGGCAACAAGAACAAATTACGTGGGCTCCTAGCCTTTGGCCTCACCCACTTCACAACTCTGCACTATGGCCCAGAAAGACCTGTGGTTGGGAAGGGCCAACAATACTACTTGACCACTGTCTAGAAGCATAAGCCACAGGACAGGGAACTGACCTGCATGAGTCAAAGGTTTCCCAAGGCCATGACACCTAAGCTGAGGTGTGAAGGTGTGTAGAGAGGTGGCAGCCAGCACAGTGATACAGTGGTGGGAGAGGTCTGGGCTCTCATGTTTGACCAAGCAACGGAAGTGCCTCTGGTTATAAAGATTATTCCTAGCTCTTGAACTCTGGATAAGCACATGGACATATTTCTACCCTGAAGGTGCAAGTAACCCTGATGGTGCCTCCTGCTGAGCACTGAGAAGTAGATGAGGTCATGAGACAATCAGGAGAGCAGACCATACCACCCCACAGCACAACAGGAACCAAGTCTGAGGCTACCCTCAGAGACAGTGTGGACATCAGAGGAGGCTTCCAGAAGAAGGGGTACTTGAATCTTGAAAGACAACAAGAGCTGGCCATCTAGAAAAAGTAATGGGGAGGGCAGTCTTGCAGCTGGGACTTTAAGGACAAAGCCACAAAGGAGAATGAAGGGGTGAGCCAGGGGGCTTCTGAGGGAGAGACTAGTGACCTTGATAATATTTTCCAGTGGCTCTCTATCACCTTCTGGAAAATGGTACCTCAGACAGTGATATGGCATGGTTTATACAGGGGAGAGAGAGAATGTGTTTCTATGTGTGCGTGCGTGCGCATGCCTGAGACATCGCTCACCTGGAGGGTGAATGCTCTCTGCGGGCCTGGAATCGGCAGCTTCAGTGCAAGTGCTGGTGCAGACAGACACAAGGCGTCCTTCTCCGCAGTCAGGGAGGCTGGAGACTGGAAGAGCCAAAAATGCCCCTGAGCCCCACCCCTACACCACAGAGGCAGCTTTAGGTTCAAGGTAAATCATCCAAACGGGAGGCCGGTCACCAGCATACTTTCACCAACTCTGACGGAGAAAGTGCAGACAGATGCAAAAGTGGTCCCTTCTTTACAGGTGAGGAAGCTGAAGCCAGGAACCTGTACAAGGTCTCTGGATGGACTCATGGCCTGGCTTAGGGAGAACATGGTCCCCATGCTCCTCCAGGGGGAGGGTGTCAAGCCAGCTGCTTCCCCAGGCACCCACTCTGATAAGGCACATCCTCAGACCCTCCCCTCCTGCTCGAAGCACATTCAGGCACAAGCACCGAGACTGGAGACAGCATGGGAGAAGGCAGGGACAAGCCCACTGGCCTGAGGCTGCCAGGCTCACCTGGACAGACAGAGACACAGGCATGAGACGGGAGTCCTTCCGAGGCCGCCCTTTCTTCTTTTTCTCCACTGTCTCTGCCTCAAGCTCGAGTTTTCGCTTGGAGAGTGAAGAAGGCTTGGCCACAGGGACCTTTTCGTCACTGTCACTGCTGCTCTCCAGGAGGTCCCGGGGTCTTATCTCTTTCACCAGGTTTTGCTCTTTCAACCTGTACAAACACAGACGCTCATGGGTCTCCAAACGCTACTGATTTTATAATAGTCAAAAAGAAAGCAATACTTATGCCAAAACAGGAGTCCCCGGGTGGTGCAAACGGTTAAGTGCTTGGACTACTAGCCCAAAGGTTGGTGGTTCGAACCCCACCCGGGGATACCTCCAAAGACAGGCCTTGTGATCTGCTTCCAAAAGGTCACAGGTTTGAAACTCTATGGAGCAGTTCTGCCACGCACACATAGGACAGCCGTGAGTCGGCATCGACTCGACAGGCAACGCACAACATCACCAAACACCGATTAAAAAAAAAAAAGTAGAGGAGGATGTCTCATTCCCTTCCAATGTGTAAAAACCTTACAAGTCACCACTGCCATCCTTACAAAAAGAAAAAAGCTGAAAACTTGAAAATCAACAATTCTTCTTAGAACCGTCAGAGAACTAACATTACCACCAACCACAGACGCAGAAATTGGAGACTTCTGCCAGTTACAGCTCATCTGGAGCAGAAACCCTGGGAACCAGTAATTGGTAGGGACTCTTCATCAGTAATTGAGGAATTGCTAGAGGCTGAATGCAGAGTAGTTTGAGTTAAAACTCCTGGGGGCCCAATTTAATGAGTCCCTGCTCATTACTGCCTTGGAAACCCTATGGAGCAGTTCTATACTAGCCAGTAGGGTTGCTATGAGTCGGAAGCAACTGGATGGTAGTGGGTTTGGTTTGCTTTGGTTTACACTGTCATTAGTTTTACCTCCAGGAGCCCTACCAGGTTCTCCCCAATGATGATCAAAAAATTACAGTGGGGGAGGGCAGAAAGAACAATTCGGAATTATGCGCAGAGTTAACGCTCTCCATAACAAAGGCCTGCCCAAGAGATTCTACTTTACTGGAGTCACAGCTAACCTGGGAAAAGGGCAATTGGCCAACTTCAGGCCCTCTAGCCTTCATGGCTCATATAAGAGGAGAAAAATAAAAGGCTAAGAAACTCTTCTGCAGATCATAGCTCAGGGACTCTGGGCCACCAGAAAACAGGGATTTAATAATAAGATTATGTAAGGCTCACTATCCCCAGTAACTCACTACAACATCAACTGGGCTTCAGTATGATGATAATGGGTTATAACTGAGAGGACTACAAGACACAGACTCTACTCAACTAGCAGTTTCTAGGGAAACTCAAAGACAACAGAAGGGACAAAAGCAAGGACACCAGAAGAAATTGAAGCCTCTGGCAATGAAAGCCATAAAACCAAACAAAAAGCAATGAAAGCTATATATAGCAAGGGGTAAATACAGCCTAACTCCTATGAGACAGACATAAACCCACCCACTGCCATCAAGTCAATTCCAACTCACAAGGACCCTACAGGACAGAGCAGAACTATCCCATAGGGTTTCCAAGGCTGTAAATCTGACAAGCAGACTGCCTCAGCTCCGTCAAGCTGTGAAGCAGTGGATGGGTCTGAACAGCCAACCTTTTGCTTAGCAGGTGAATGCCTTAACCACTGTGCCACCAGAGCGCCGATAAACATAAAATCTCACGCTAATGGCCTACTTATGTCAATTCTTGTTACCCAATACATCATGCCTGGCTATCAACAAAAAACAAGACTTAGTGAAAGGCAACAAACATACACACAGTCTGAAGACACAAAGCAAGCAACAGAGCAAGACTCAGATACGGCAGAGATTCTGGAGTCATGACACCAGGAATTTAAAGTAACTATGATTAATATGCAAAGGGCCTAATGGAGAAAGTGGGAGACATATGAGAACAAATAGGTAATGGTAAGCAGAGATGGAAACACTGAGAAAGAATGAAAGAGAAATGCTAGAAATGAACAACACTGTAAGACAAATGAATGCCTCTGCTGGACTCACCAGTCGGCGAGACACAGCCAAGGTGTCAGCGAGCTTTCAGTTTCAAAAGAAATTTCTCAAACTGAATGCAAAGGGAAAAAAGAATAAACAAAATAAAAAACAAAACAAAACAAAAATGAGTACAACAGCTAAGCACTGCTGCTGTTAGATACTGTCAAGCTGATTCCAACGCCTAGCCACCCTACACGCAACAGGACAAAACACACTGCCTGGCCCGGACCGTCCTCACAACGCTTGTTATGCTAGAGCCCAGCACTGCAGGCAATTATAAAAGATGTAACATGCATATTGTGGGAGTTAAGGTTGTATATGGATTTGGCTGGGCCTGGTTTTGAGCGGCTGGGCAGCTGGATATAGCGAGTCCCCCCGATGAGAGTGGTGATCGGCTCCACGGTGGAATCCACCACGAGCAACTGAGCAGCTGCTTTAGGGCTGTGGGCTGCTTACAGTATATACAAAGAAGCTTCGAGAAAGGCCCGGAGCTTTTTTGGCACA